CATAAATCCCTAATTAGGTGATGCTACTGTTTCACATTTTGGAAGAGATTCTTGTTGAGGCAAATATTTTAGATAACGCTTTTAGTAAACTTTATAAAACAGCATCAGGATAAAAATAGTGTTACACTTCTAAACTATCTTAACGTAATATGTGGTTGATTGAAAGAAAGGAGAAAAACTCTACCATTTAATACAAGTTACAAAGTTTTGGTTTAAAATGTTTAAACGTAGACTATAAGATGCAATGCCTTGTGTTTATTAAACATTAAATTGAATTAATGTTTTTGTTTTATATTTCTGAACACTGAAATCGACTAATTCTTACTCGTTGCTCAGAGTGAAGTCCACTTCCCCTTCATCTCCCTTCAAAGACAGATACAAGTGAAATATTATAGTTTACAAGATGGTGTTATATATTAATATTATAGTTTACAAGATGGTGTTATATAAGATGGTTTCAAGAAGGAGTATATCGTGCCTGGAAAAGTTTGCCATCAACCTGCTTCCCACTATGAGTTTTCTGGAATTATGCTATGATGTAAATCATATAATCATTGAAAACAAATTGATAAATTTTTTTCTGCATTTTCCAGGGTTAATTTGTATTTTTGAAACAGAAATACAGTTTCCATAAATGGTCTTGTTGGAGTTGTCTATGGTAAAAGTGTACCAATTAAACTTTAGATGAATTTACCTTTAATAGGTTATTACGAAACTTAATGTTTCAACCCCAGTATATTTCAATATATAACGATTAGATTCTTTTTAAAGTATTTCTAACAGGCTACTGTGAGATTCTTACCTTAGCGTCTAGGCTTATATGTATTCAACATATATAATGATGAATTTCTTGTTAATATAGTTGTACCAGGTTATGATGAAGCTGCTTAACATGTAGTATTATGTGTATTTTAGCACGTGACCAATTCTATGTACTGTAATACATCACCAATTTCTTGTTAGTGTTCCACTATCAGGTTATCGTGAAGCTGTTCAAACCGAGTAAGAGCCGTGATGAGCGAGGAATATATAACACCTCTTGTAAACTATAATATTAATATATAACACCATCTTGTAAACTATAATATTAATATATAACACCATCTTGTAAACTATAATATTAATATATAACACCATCTTGTAAACTATAATATTAATATATAACAACCTCTTGTAAACTATAATATTAATATATAACACCATCTTGTAAACTATAATATTAATATATAACACCATCTTGTAAAATATAATATTAATATATAACACCATCTTGTAAAATATAATATTAATATATAACACCATCTTAAAGCCTAAGACATGTCCTAATGGTTAGGGCGCTTGACTCGCCAACTGCAAGTCACGGGTTCGAATCCCCGTCACACCGAACATGTTCGCCCTTTCAGCCGTGAGAGCGTTAAAATGTGATGACAAATCTCACTATTCGTTGGTAAAAGAGTAGCCTGAGAGTTAGCGGTGAGTGGTGTTGACTAGCTGCCTTCCCTCTAGTCTTTCACTGCTAAATTAGGGGCGATTAGCGCAGATAACCCTCGTGTAGATTTGTGCGAAATTCCAAACAAACCAAAACTAAAAGCTTGAACCTGCAATAAGTAATAAATACAATATTCTAAGTATCACTGATAATCTGAATAGGTTGAGGACCCGGATTGGCTTATGATAACGAAACTGGTAAGCCGGTTTCGAGTCCGTATGATACCACAACATATCTCCCTCACCACCAACACCACCTAAACACACTTTAAACTGTGAATGCATTATAAGTGTGACAGTTAATTTCCTAGCACGAATGATTGTTATAAGGAGGTGCTGTAAAATTGCCCCTCTTCCTGGTATTTCATAATTAGGGACGGCGGCAGATAACCTGTGTAGTTCTGCTATAACCATAAATACACAATATATTAATTAAATCAGTAGAGTTTTTAAGCACGTTATGTTGTTTGTTCAGTTTGCTCCAATACAACACACACACTTGCTATATCATTTCAACATTGAAATGTTTTGACATATACTGTTTGCTAGTAGACGCTTTTGTGTTCACTTGTAATTTATGTGAAAAAAGATTTCCACGTAACTGACACACCCGTATTTCTATTTCTGTAGTCATATTCGACAGTGTAGTATTTATTATACTTGTGTTGTCCAGAAATAAGGACTACTTCCATTTCTACTTTCCGTGTTTTTGTTCTTATAGGGGCGCCACCAGCAGATGATATGCCCCCAATTTCACTGATCTCAACTAGTAGTACTAGATAAAGGGCGAGCATGTTTGGTGGGACGGGGATTCGAACCCGCAACCGTCAGATTGCGAGTCGAGCGCCCTAACCACCTGGCCATGCCAGGGCCCTTTCGGTGATTTCTAGCAATCTGACTTGACATTGTTATACAGTATTGGGGCATCAGCTTTAGTAGGCACTGACCCCACCGACTTTTAGAATGTCATATGCGTAAGTTACTAATTTGCCCCAGTCGTTAGGCAAACCGGATATATATCAATCTCGTCAAACAAAAAATGTGCACACACTTACAGCAAAATGGAGACGATCCACTTGTTTTGAGGTACATTTTCACTGATTTGCCATCGTCTTTGTGTGATTTGAATTTCTCTGCCCGGAATCCCATTGTGGAACAGCGACTCCCATCTACACCACAGTCGGCGCATCTACCC